AGAAGAGAAGAGAAGAGAAGAGAAGAGAAGAGAAGAGAAGAGAAGAGAAGAGAAGAGAAGAGAAGAGAAGAGAGAGAGAAGGAGAGAGAAGGGAAGAGAAGAAAAGGGAAGAGAAAGAAGACAGGAGGAGAGGAGAGAAGAGAAGAGGAAGAGAGAAACAAGGAAAGGAAAGGAAAGAAGGAAAGGAAAGGAAAGGAAAGGCACAGAGGAGAGAAAGAGAGAGAAGGGAAGGGAAGAGAAGGGAAGAGAAAGAAGACAGGAGGAGAGGAAAGGAAGAGAGAAACAAGGAAAGGAAAGGAAAGGAAAGGAAAGGAAAGGAAAGGAAAGGAAAAGGAAAAGGAAAGGAAAGGAAAGGAAAGGCACAGAGGAGAGAAAGAGAGAGAAGGGAAGGGAAGAGAAGGGAAGGGAAGAGAAAGAAGACAGGAGGAGAGGAAGAGAGAAACAAGGAAAGGAAAGGAAAGGAAAGGAAAGGAAAGGAAAGTTAAAGAGAGTGGGAGGTCTAGCAGAAGAATATTTAACTGTACCCCATCTCAGTGCATCCTACGGAGATATAATTTTCTCTCCATATTTCTTTGCCCACTGAATATATGAGGGACCCAAAAGAGTTGAGATGGTACTTGGGCAGCTGTATAGTTTAATAAATCCATTTTACTACTTTGCCTTAATAGTATTGATCCATCCATTTCAAATAGTAAACTATATCTTGGGCAAGCCTGCTCCTCCAGTGCTCCACTGATCCTCAGTGGAGCTTGTGGTTGAAGTACCGAAGTTCCCTCTAAACGGGTTGCACAATTGTGCCCACAGCCTTCAGCAATCATAGCCCAATCTCTGCCAGCGGGGGATTATGGCAGCTGAAGGCCAACCCATCCAGAGGAACCAGACTGAAGAAGGCTGAGCTGAATGGTGATTAACACAAAAGCAGGAAGTTAGTCGCCATCGAAATGCAACATGGTTAGTCAGCCTCAGCGTATCTGTGCTGTACCTTCTTCTATGGGAGGGAGCCTTCCTTACGACTTCCCCCAGCAGTCGCACTGAACTGAAAAATGAATCATGGACAATTATCAGAAACATCATCAACCATTCAAAAATCTCCAGACAGAGACAGAAGGAGGTGGGGAGAATCCAAAGGGGAAATGGTGAAGGGCAGAAGGGGTGACAACAGGGAGTAGAGCAGTGGTTCTCAACCTTTTTAATGCCGCGACCCCCAACCGGTCGTAAGTCGAGGACTAAACCGGTCATAAGTCGAGGACTACCCAACCAGTCGTAAGTCGAGGACTTTCCCTGCCCGGGAGCGCCGCACAAGCGTGGTTCCGCCCCCTGCGCCGGCCGAGGCGTAGCTGGCAAGCGGCAGAGACGGAGCAGGCCGACCACCAGCTGGCCCAGCCCAAGGGAGGTAAGGCACCCGCCGGAAAAGGGGGAAAAAAATGGTGGACAGCCTTGCTTGGCGACCCCCATGAAATGGTCGATCGACCCCAAATGGGGTCGCGACCCATAGGTTGAGAACCGCTGGAGTAGAGGAAAATGACATGGTGGCAGAAGGGTGGGAAAAACGTTAGGTGTGAAGAACAGTCTTAGCCTGCAAGTTCACAGCACCATCTATGGGCAAGAAGCAGAAACTGAATGATCCTTGGCCCAACATAAACCTATTGGTACCCCAAGGTCATTTCCCACACTGCCTGCCCAATCCAAGGTTGTGCAAAATGAATAACTGGTCCAGGTCCTAGTCCTCGACTTACGACTGCAATTGATCCCCAAATTTCTGTTCCTAAGCCAGACAGTTGTTAAGTGAGTTTTGCCCCATTTTCTGCACCACTTCACAACTGTGAATCACTGCAGTTGTGAAGTGAGTAACGCAGTTGTGAAGCATGTCTGGCTTCCCCCATGGACTTTGCTTGTCAGAAGATCGCAAAAGGTGATCACATGACCCCCAAGACGCTGCAACCGTCATAAATATGAACCAGTGGCCAAGCATCTGAATTTTGATCACCTGATCATGGGGATGCTGAAAAGGTCATCCCTGGGACTACCTCTCTTGATTCATTTCTTAAATTTATATTCCACCTTTTCATGTAGGAGCTCAAGGTGAGATTCTCAGTGCTTCCTCTTATTTTGCTTCACCCCAACCATCCTCTCAGGTAAACGGAACGCCCAAAGTCACTCAATGAGCTTCCATGGTTGAAGCTAGATGTGAGTCTGAGTCTAATCACAACAGCCTGCTGGCTTCCTGAGACAAATCGGGAGTATTGGTTTTGCAGATGTTATGGGAATCACCTGAACCAGGGGTCTTCAAACTTGGCCCTTTGAGGACTTTTGGACTTCAACTCCCAGAATTCCTGAACCAGAGTGCCTGGCTGAGGAATTCTGGGAGTTGAAGTCCACAAGTCATAAAAGGGCCAAGTTTGAAGACCCCTGACCTGAACTCATAGGGGAGGTGATCCCAGCAACTGAAATAAAAATCAACTTATGGTGGACTAGCACAGGGAGTGAGGAACATGGATCTTCCCAACGTCTGAAGGAACTTTTTGCCAGTATGCTATTTTGCACCATGGAAGGAAAAGTATCCCCCAGCTATTCCATTGTGAGGAATATTAAAAAAACAAACTGTCCACTTGCAGCCAAAGCGAATAATCCAAGGTAACCTTCAAAATTTCATCCCAGTTAGTAGCAATAAAAAGTGCTAAGGCTGTTCTGCCAAAATCATAACAATGTTGCGTGGAGATGCTCCTCTTTCTTCATCGCAAGTCGTTGAGATAAGAACTTGGCTGAACTTTCTTGAAAGCCACATCATCTCAAAGTATGATTTTTCACCTCTAACCTGTCAGTCTTCTCCACTCCCCCACACATACTACGGGTGAGGTGAGTCACTGTGTACAATAACCTGAGTCATGGTAATTATTTAAACTCTTGTCACAGAGTACGCAACATGGAGGAAAATCCAAAACTCCTTCTAGGCCATAGTAACACTGTTTTTTTTCCATAAAGAAAGAGAAAAGGGAAGTTTTGCCTAGTATTTAAAGCAACCAGGCTAGAAACTGGGAGAGTGTGAGTTTTAGTCCCATCTTAGGCCTGAAAGCCAACTGGGTGACTTTGGGCCAATAACTCTATGCTTCAGCCCAACTTTCCTCACAGGGTTATTTTAGTGGTGGGGGAGGGGAGGAAGGAAGATGAAGGAGTATTAGGTATATTCATCACCTTGAGTTATTTGAGTTGCTTTGGATAGTGAGATGGGTGGCATATAAATTTAATAAATAAATACATACGTATGTATATAAGATTCCTTCCAATCATTTAATTGGCACTTTTAGATGGCTCATAGACTTTTAGAATAAAATGTTGCTACTCCTCTGAACAGTAAAGTACCAACCAAAAAGGCTCCCAGATTGCTTTCAAAGTGTAGAAAAAGCACATGCCCTCTTTTTTAATAGCAAAGAAGAAAATAACAACAATATTTATTTGAAGCAGACGTATTCTGCTGTTTGGCCTTCAGACATAAATGGGAAAAGGGATGGAACGCCCTTTTTTAACTTGATTGTTCTTAAAAAAAATTGCAAACTTTTTGCCATGCTAGTGTCAAAGCAAGAATATTCAATATTAGCAGCGTTGACAGCTAGCTTACTGCAAAACAAAAGACAGATCCTAATGCTTCAGGTTTCTCCAAGATCCTGACTTCCCAATCTTCAGAGTAGCTCAAAGAAGATCTAGATCACGGCTGTCAAACTCGCCGCATCACGTGACAGGTCGCGACCTACCACGACTTTTTTCGCATTGCCAGAACTGGGGTGGGCACGGTCTCTGCATGATGCAACCGGCCCATGAGCCGGCAGTTTGACACCCCTGATCTAGATGGTCCTGCTTTGTTTCTGGGCCTTTGTTTTCTACCTTAATAAAACAGGAGCTTCCAGCTTAGGTGAGAAACCAACAGCTTAAGCCATGTTTACTCAAAACTCCCACTTCCCTTGGCTATTGGATTGGGAATTTTTGGCACATGATCGACCGACATGGCGTACCCTGGTTTACCAGGGTTGCCAGACATATGAACACAGGAGGACAATCTTGGCACAAGAGAAGCAAGCACTCCGTAAAGCCAGAGCTGCAAATGCTGAAGCAATAGTGTCCACATTTCTCTGTTCAGTATGTGGCAGAACATTCCGTGCTAACATCGGTCTCATCGGCCATCTACGGACACACCGCTGATGGCCCACAATCCACAAGATGTCAAGGTCTTCATCGAAATCGATGGACGAACAACAAGGATTGGGCAAATGGAAATGGCGCTGAGATTACAAAGGTGAAAGCCAAGCAACCAGAACATACCAAATTGGCTGTGCTTAACCTCCAGGCTTTTCCACTTGGATCTCATGTTTTGATTTTGTGGCTGAACTTGACCTCTCCTTCATACCTCTCTCCTTCCAGCATCTTGTAAGCCCCAGATTTCCTTAGCTGTGCATGACCAGCCCCTCCCAAGGAACCATTTGGCTTACCTCCTCTGGTTGACCTCAGCTTCGCCGTTGTTGCTGTTCTTCCCTGGGCCCCAGCTATGCCGGCGGAAAGGAGACGACGACCTCAAATTGTTCCGCAAGCCAGAAGAAGGAGGGGACACCTCCATGACGCTATCCAGCAATTCGTCCAGTTCTCCAGAGACCACTGCCATGCCATCTTGACCTTCTCCATTCACCCCCATGTTGAAGCAGCTGCCATCTGGGCTGTACCTCTCCTTGGACCCAAGGAGACCAGGGGTCCGAGGAACAGAAAAGTTACTGCCGAAGGAAGAGTTCCTTTCCAACGATGTGGTATCGTCCACTGAAGAGGTGGAACTCCTGCCAGCTGATTGTTCCTCTTCAGCCTGCTTTTGAGATTGCAATAATACAGGAGTAATGGTAGCAGTAGTTACTAATAGTAATAAGAATACCATCAATTTATTTCAGATATAAAGTAGGTTTCTTCCCAAGTGATCACCCCATTGTAACCATTAATGGGACATAAAGGAAAATTATTAAATACATAGGGCAGGGGTAGGCAACCTTGGCTCTTTTATGACTTTGTGGACTTCAACTCCCAGAATTCCTGAGTCAACATGGCTGGTTCAGGAATTCTGGATATTGAAGTCCACAAGTCATAAAAGAGCCAAGGTTGCCTACCCCTGACATAGGGTATTGACCGTGCTAATTATTTGTTGATAAATGTATTTAAAATATTCTGAAGAACAAAGAGTTGGTGGATGTTTTGCTTCTGGTTTACATAAGTAAGAATACTGTCCCTTGCGATCTTGGATTCTACAAGCTCCAGGTCTTTGCCTGAACCACTCTGTGGTTCCTTAAAGCTTACACCACCAGGGAACTGAACTCAGATCAATAAGGAAAGAAGGATGATCTCATCAGAGACAGTTATTAAAAGGGGATTTACAAGTTCCCTGCCAATGACTTAAAAGTTTAAGTAAAGAAGAAGTGATCTCTGCACATCCTCCTTCCAAATCTTTAACTCTGCACAGAAATCCCCTAAAGTATATTTGAATCCGAAAGTGATAAGGATTTTTTTCTGGGGAGGGGGAGCTGGGAGATGCAGCACAAGACTGATATCTCATCTCATCACATCACAAGGTGGTTGATGGATCACAAGCCCAACATTAACACGGTGGTATATTTTTCAATCTTGGAGCTTTCCGTGACACCACAATGAAGAAGCAGACAAACGTACAGTACATGGAACACATTGAAGTGTGTGTTGGGTGGTGGGATTTAATTGTGTGGGTGCTGAACTACAGTTCCCAGCAGACTGAGCCTGTAAAGCCAACGGGGAGGATGTTGGGATCCGAAGTGCAGCCATGTGTAGAGGATCACTATTTCCTTATCCTGTCCGAGAGAGGACCTTGAGCTACAGTTTGGCCACGGTCAAGGCCAATGGTGGTCCAGCATGCCAAAGGGAGGCTACTTGAGACCTCGATGTAAAACTCTTTGCTTCTTGATGTGCTGCAAAAACTGAGGCTTGCTCTAAGATGGCAACAGCAGATGATTTGGCTTGGGGAAAAAACCCAATGGGATCTACCTTCTCGGTTCTACTGGAACCAGTTTATTTAAATCTAGATTAAAGCAAAATATCTATGGAGATTCTCAGTCATCCAGGTCATGGTTGTCCCAAAGCTGCTTTTTTCAGGAGGCAATTGGACTTACTTGTTTTTTCTTTGAAGACATTTCTCTTCTTGTCCAAGAAGCTTCTTCAGCACTGATTGGATGGTGGGGAATGGAAGGATTTACTGTGACCCTGAGGACACAGAAAGCCTCCAAGTGGTCTCAACGACTCTCTAAAAGAATACAAATGACCAGCTGTCTGCAAGGAATATAAATCCTTCCATTCCCCACCATCCAGTCAGAGTTGAAGAAGCTTCTTGGATGAAAAGCAAAACATCTTAAAAACAAACAAACAAGAAAGTCCAGTTGCCTCCTGAAAAAGCACCTTTGGGACTAGATTAAAGCAGGAATGCCCAGCAAAGCAATGATGCCTTCATTTCAAAAAACAAATGAAGCCGTGTTCGCTGGGCACACAAATTTAGTATTGTCCAAATGTCACTGCCTAAAGTTTGACATTTTTATTTTTCTTTGCATACAATTAAACAGATGCTTTTTTTCAAATGTCTCCCAGATCAAGGGACAGGCATTTTTCTCCCAACTCTAATAGCTTCCAGTTAAAAGAGCCTCCCAGCATCCTTCACTTTTGTCCCATCTGTGGGAATTTGGGGGTGAAGAGGATGCTTGCTTTTTGTACAATGGCGAAAATCTTGAAATTCCCACGTGTCCACCAGCTGTACTGCAAACCCTGTTGCATTGTGGCTTCCTACACTTGCGAAAGGAGGAAGTTTTAGTTCTGTCTGCCTAGCCCTGTTCTGATGGGAACAGACACTTGAGGCATCTGTCAGGGTGACTCTGTCTTGGTCAGTCAATCTTTAGCCCAGCGCCATGGCAGAACATCTCTGCATGGAGAGATGCGAGAAAAATTGCTTTGCGAATGTTCTTCCATCTGGCTTCAATCGTGAGCTCAAAATAATCAACTTCTCAACAACCTCCTTTCCTGTTCTCAATGCTAAGTTACCCAGATGTTACATAAAAGCGTTTCTCCGAACACAAGATCATGCCTGCATCAAAGCTGACTAGTAGAACCTCTTCTTTTATTTGGGGATGGGGTTCGTAATTGCATAATACTGGCAAGAACAATATTCAAAAAAACAAACAAACAAAGCCCAAAGTTTATAGGCAAAAATTCCCGCTCCTCTCAGTGCCTCACCCTTTTACTTAGGCACTCCCTAGATTTGTACACAAGGCTAAAGGAATTGGAAAACAGCTTCCCCCCCCGCTCCCCAGGACTTCAATCCAGAATAGCTTTTCTTCTTGGCCAGAACTTCAGCAGCTTAGCTATGATCAGAAAAGCAAGGGTGGCCCTTAGCTTGCCAAGAGGTCTCTGGACTTTTAAAGGATGCTGCCTGACTCGGGATGATGCAACCAGCATTATCGTACACGTCCAGAAGCCGTGGGTGAAACAGAATGCTCAACGGTTGAAATATTCTCGGGAGATGCAGCAAGGAAAGTGGCAGATTTATCAGGAGAGTCTGAAAACAGACTGCAGGAAATGACTTCAGACTGCATGATTCATTGAGATGGGCCCATGTCACAACATAGGCCGGTGAGAAAAGAGAAAATTCAGAAGGAGGTTTCTGGGATAACCAATGGAACTTGCATTAAAGGCCCTGCAAGGGCGGAGCTTTTTTTCTCCAAGTTTGTGGGTTGAAGTAGAAGAGCTTTGGTAGATCTTACCTTTCTAAAGTCCACCTCATCCAGACCATCGCTGGAGAGAGGAAAGAGCTCGGAGTCACTCCCGGATCCTCTCTTAAGGAGGCCTTTTGAAGAAGAGCCGTCACCGCTTAATCTGTCTTCTAGAAAATTATCACTTTCTGGAAGAAGACGAATTTAAAACACAGACATATGAATCACAGAATCAGAGACTGCAAATCCAACCAGGTACTGTGGAGATACGAACTACAATGTGGTCTACGCTGAACTTGAGGGCACCTCAAGATGTTGGCGAATCTCAGGGAAATGATCTAATAATGCCAAGTGGACTGGTAACTGGACTCCAGAGCAGCATCTTTAATGTCCTCACCTGAAGATAGGAGTCCAATTTAGAGGACAAGGCACAAGTGGTGTAATGGTTAAGTCTACCAACAGAGAGGAAAACCTGCGTGGAGGTCATCGAAGAGGCAAACCAAGCAACTATCTATCCTGGACACTCAAGAGCCAAGGAGCCTTGCCAGAGACATTTTTAATTCTTATGACTCCTTAATGTTTCCATAGCATTTTCTAGCTTTCACAGCAATTCTCATATAATATATCCCGTCGGTAATATTTCCATCGATCCTGCAGCATATGTCAAATAATTTGCCAAAAAGCACAATGAAAATGCAGTATAAATGTCTACATCCAAGACATTTAAACTCCAAAAGGGGAGAGAGAGATTAATTCTTTGAGTGACCTGGATAAAATATGCAAAACTTTCCATAATCTCTTTCTTATTCTGCAGCTGTTTCTCTCTTTTTTTTTTCATTATTGTTCTACTTTAAAGCATTTTAAGGCGTTAGAAAAAAGAAAACGTGCCAGATATTATTAAGGAACCGCATTTTATTTGACGTATTCAGTTTTTATAGCTGCCTATCTCAGCCAGGGGGGCAGCTACACTCTTTCCACCTCTAAGACATTCCAGCCAATAAGATAAGTCTGTTCTGTTAGCCATGTTTATTTACTTATAAACACAGAATTATTTTAATCCAGTATTTGTTCCATAAGAGAAAGGTGTGCAAATAAGAACTCCGGTTCCAGTTTTGATCTCTGAATATCAAAGGAAGACTGAGCTGAAAGATAGTGACTGAATTACCAGTAAATTTTCTCCACTGTTCTTCCACTCTTTAGCCTGAGTATGTTGCTTAAGAGAAAGATTAAACCTGGCTATGAAAAGATTCTTACCTACGGCAGGTATGATAGTAGGGGAGCCTCAAATAATTTGCACCTGCAGGATCAACCTCCCTTCCCCTTCCTTTCATTCCCAATTTAAGTCCTACATCTGTCCCTCTTTTCTCAATCTTTTTGGGGGAGAACTTTTGAAATAATTTTCAGGTCTCAAGGAATCCCCTGCATTAAAAAACGCAAGAAATGTGGATCCTTCGCCACATGCTTAATCTCTAACCTTCACAACCCAGGTTTTACACATTTTTAAGAAGAGCAAAATGGTAGCTGAATTGTAGCAGGTAAAAATTCCCACCTCTGTGGGTGCTAGAACACATGGCATGCAAAGTTCAAAAAACAATGTTTTTTGTTTTAATTCTTAATCTCTTGTGGAATTCCTAGAAACCGTTCACAGAAAACAAGAGCCATCCTATGCACGTGACGAAGTGTTGAGCTGCAACTCATGAAAGCATATACCTTCTAATAAAACCTGTTCGTTAAGAAAAGTTCTCTCAGATGCCTACTAAAGTTTTGCACGCTTACTACCCATTTCTAAGATCAGGACAAGCAGATTTTTTTTTTTAATCAAATCAAGAAGACTAATTCTTTTTTTCATCAAGACTTTGGCCTCAAAGATTTCAGGCAGCCTATTATGAAACTTGCAAGAATCAATTGTCTGCAGTGCTTCTCAGCCTTGGAAGTTTGAAGAATGTTGACTTCAACTCCTAGAATTCCCTAGCCAGAATGGTGGCTGGAGAATTCTGGGGGTTGGTCCACACCTCTTCAAGCTGCTAAGGTTGAGAAATACTAGGGAGATATATATATGTGCACCTGGACGGCCCAAATATGGGAAGAAGAAATCTTTTGCCCGATCTAAGTTCGAATCTCAGAAGGGTGTAGCTGGCTGATGAGAGCTAAGGAGCTTGAAATAGCTATACCAACTTCCCTTTAACCCTTTGTTAGCAATCCTTGGGAATAGCTAATATTTCCCAAAGTAGCTACCATTATGCAAAGGGTAATTTCTCTGTTTTAACAGGTGTGACTTCTTTCCTCATACCTTCTCCATCCTCATCGGTCTATATTTCTTTTCCATAAGTTGAAGAAGGTGAGAGAATTTTTAAAAGAGAGCGAGAGAGGGGGGGGGGAGAAAGAAAAGACAGAAACCTCACGGATCCAGCTGGCAATTTAACAGAGCATATCCCACCGCATTCCAGTCTGAAGGGCAAGCCAGCTCTGCACCGAAGGGGGGGGGGGAGAACACTAACAAAATACTGAAATGGAAAAAATCACAAAGGAAGTTCCAGATTCGCCACTGGGCAGCACTAGCTCCAGAAAAATTAAACCAATTTCTGAGCTGCAAAGGCACGGCAAATTTGGCAGACCATCTTCCATGTTTTTCTCTCTTCTCTAATTACCTTAAAATTGGCAGACATCACACTGCTCATTTAAAGTCCCCCAAAACAGCCCCCTCAACACACAGACACACACACACAATTCGCTGCAGCTGATCTTGGCCTGGTTCAGATATAACCACTGTTGTGGGTGTGTTTTGCTAAGAGAACAAGGTACAGCAAATTGGTGATATTTCTTCCTTTCCCTTCTTTCCTTGTCATATCAGGATAAGAAACCTGCCTTTCAATATTGAACAAATCCTGCATCCAGGTTAATAAGGGGAGCTGTGATTTCTTTTTAATTTCAGGCTATTCTAGCAGTTCAAAAGCATGCAAATGCAAGTAGATTAATAGGTACCATTTGAGTGGGAAGGTAACAGCGTTCCGTGCGCCTTTGGCACAAAGCCACATGATCACGGAAAATGTATTTAGACAATCCTAGCTCCCTCGGTTAAGAAACAAAGATGAGCACCCTAGAATAGGACACAACTGGACAGGGAAAACTTTTACCTTTACTTAGCAAACTAGGATCAGGAAAATCCTAGAACTGACCTGGCTTCCTCTTAGCCTAGCATGTAAGAAGGTCCAAGCAATATAGGTCAAGTCATCCTTTCATACTTGAAGAACTGCAAACATAGGAAATAGTCCCAGTTTGAAGGGGAAGAGTTACCGGCCTGGAGAATCAGTTATGATATAAAATGAAAGAAAAGTGAGAAATAAAAAGACTGAAGGAGCTAGGAAAAAAAGTAAAATGCAATCGACAAGAAGAATATTAGGTGTCTAGCTATCTTGTAACAGCTGCGGGTTTTCTGAACTCTTGGAAACATTCCTTCATCTTTCTAGGGAAACGTGATTTATTTTTCTGTTTACATTCGTTGTGTTTTTCCGTATGTGCTCACATTGTGCAATCCAAGATTATTTTCACCTTTCCTGATGGCCTGATAAATCTCCCAAGGCAGGAATGCCGGCTACAACAAAGCTGGAAGAATGACAAGTTCCCAGCAGAGATGCCATTAACTTCCTGAAAAATCTGATTTATGGACTGACCTCTCTATAACCACTCTGAAGAAAGGAAACCATGGAGCTTTTTAAGGTACAATTATGGGGTCAGGGTGGAAATTGGACATGCAGCAGTAGAAAACATCTCCCTTGCTTTAACATTAAGCAGAATTAAGAAGTAAAAGGACAGTATGCTACTCTACGCTCAAATATGGAAACATTTGGTCCTACCTACAATGGAGGACTGGCTGGTGAAGATGATGGAACATGCAAAGATGGCTAAATTAATTTCTTTGATCAACAGAAAAAAAAAACCAGTATCTGCATTTATGGCTGACTGGAAACCGCTTATGGATTTTTTTGCATGAGACTGAAAAAAAATGTACTTATGATTTGTGGTTTTGATGATTAAATGATGGAACTTGCAAAGATGGCTAAATTAACTTCTATGATCACAGACAAAAATAATATTTACATTTATGGCTTCAAACCCTTTACAAACTTTTTGCACGAAACTGAAAGAAAGTGCACTGATGGTTTGTGGTTTTGATGATTAGGGAAAAAAGCTGGATAACAGAAAAGAAGAGCTCTTTTCTTATAATTATAAACTAACAGATAACAGATATTAGATAACTATCCAGTTTTGGTCACCACGTTACAAAAAAGATGTAGAGACTTTGGAAAAATTGCAAAGAAGAGCAACTACGATGATTAAGGACCTGGAAACAGAAACATATGAAGAACAGTTGCAGGAATTGGGTATGGCCAGTCTTGAGAAAAGAAGGACTAGGGGGGACATGATAGCAGTCTTCCAGTATTTGAGGGGCTGCCACAAAGAGGAGGGGGTAAACTTATTTACCAAAGCACCAGAAGGCAAGACAAGAAACAATGGATGGGAATTAATAAAAGAGAGAAGCAACCTGGAACTAAGGAGAAAATTCCTAACAGTAAGGACAATTAACCAGTGGAACAGCTTGCCTCCAGAAATCGTGGGTGCTCCATCACTGGGGGCTTTCAAGAAAAGACTGGACAGTCACTTGTCTGAAATGGTATAGGGTCTCCTGCTTGAACAGGGGGTTGGACTAGATGACCTCCAAGATACCTTCCAGTTCTGTTTTGATTGATAGACTTTGTACCTGTACTTATATATGCTTGCAATGGAAATCAAAAACTCTTTCTTTGTATTATTTCTGCATTTTTGCCTTTTGCCTTTTTCTTTCTTCTTCCTTTACTGCTTTTACTCTTTGCTAGTTTGTTAGTTTTTATAGTTGGATTTTTTTTTTAATCATAAAGCTGAATAGTGCATTCCTGTCTGAGCAGGGGGTTGGACTAGATGACCTCCAAGGTCCCTTTCAATTTTATTATTACTATTATATGTCAAAGAGAACCTGTTTCTCTTACCTGCAGAGTTGCAAGGATGCTTCTGCTCCAACAGTAAAGAATCTGGAGAAGGTTCAACTGGACACCAGTTTTCACGGTTGATCTAAGGCAAAGGGAGAGAGATGACAAATTAATGGGAATCTTTTGATGCAGCCTCCGTATTCTCTTTTTCTGTTTTTGTTCTGCTTTTATTGTTTTTAATGTTCTTGTAATAATTATTATATTATGGTTTTAGTGGTGTTTTGTTTATTTTACTGTTTTATTGGATTGTTTTCAACTTACCGTGAGGTGGGTGGCCATATAAATTTGATTAATAAAATAAACTAATGAACCCTTTATCTTGACCTGATCAGACTTCAAATGAATCAAGTAAACAGAATTGTTTTTTATTATTATTATTATATGGCATATTAATCTTGCGCTCCCAAAAAGTAATGAGGAACCTCAGGACAAACACTAATTTTTATTTCATTTCCTTTATGCTGAATTTAAAGCAGAGTCAATACAATTCCCCTTCTGACACACATTTCATTCAGACATATTACGTAGAGACCTAACTCTTTGGAGAAGGAAGGAAGGAAGGAAGGAAGGAAGGAAGGAAGGAAGGAAGGAAGGAAGGA